GGTTATTATATATTTGATATTATTATTATGTTTTTGTTATCATTATTATTATCGTCATTGTTATTATTATTATTATTATTTTATGATTCAGGAGATATTCTTTGAAATGTAAGCAACTCGTAAATGATCTTATGTTGGCAATTCAACGAAAAAAATCCATATTTGTGGGTTAAATTTCTATACAAATCCTGGAAAAGATTCAGGAACCCACAGTGGTATAACCTGAACTGCTCAATAGCTAGACCTCTAGCTACATACATAGCAATCAGTATCAGAACTTGTATGGCGCCTATCTCGAAAAGACCTCAGAAGCGCTTTCTCTGGTGTTCAGTGTTGAAATAATGATGTTTCAATGTTTTTCGAACAGCCATCGATCTGTGATCAATGATTTGTTCACATACACAACACGTGTGCCTTTTTTTGCTATTCTAGTTCTTAAACTATCAACAAAACTTACGTCCAGTGCATGTGGTGGACACGAATGAATCAATGCTAACGCGCAAACCAATATATTAGCGTGCAGAGAGTGGCAGAGAGTAGCTATGGAGAAAGTTTTGGAGTTGATACTCCTTTTAGATAATAGTTTCTGACTAGAGTTAGTGTTATTTGATAAATAACGTTAAATATACATTTCAAAAAAATTGTCTAGGTTATTTTAATTTAAAATATTTTATTGGCTTTTCATCCGTTTCAGCAGTAAATAGTTGCTAGGTCGTTTTCGTTGCTAACCTCAACAATCATCAAAATTGATTGATTAGTTGGTAGCATCAAAATGTCTTTTTTACTTTTAAAAGCGCGATTTTTAATCATTTTTTCTTTTATTTGCGTCATTTTTTTAAATTTCAACTCATCGTTTGACGTCGACGTTGACGATAATTTGAGAATCTACGTCCAAGTTAGTGAATCAGATCACTCAGCAGTTTGAAAGTTTTATTTTTGCTCTGGGAACTGAGTGCTGACATATCATTTAGAATTATTATAAATAACATATTATAATATATTATTCACTAATAACCTATCATAATATATTAATATATTATTTGTTATTTTATTACATTGCATACACAATTAATTACAGACTCGCTAAGCAAGGTAATTAGTTAAAATTTAATTTAGTAGATTTAAAAATTAATGAATAGTTAAGTTAGTTAGAGTATCAGCAGTTCACATTCTCCTAACTAAGACTAACAGCATTGGCTACTGGCACAAACAAATACAATACAATGCAATACATTACACTGGCACCAATACAATACAGTACTTAACTTAACAAAAACATAACATACGTGCATTGTATTGCATTACATGTAATGTACAATGTACTAGAGTATTGTATGTTTTATTATTATTATTATTATTGTTGTTATTATTATTAAAAATTAAAATAATCATTTTATATTTGACCAGTACAAACCAGAGAAATGTCGAAGGCAGGCTGACTTCACAGACAAACTATATATACATTACACTGTTGGTTATATTATTTTTTTTATTATTATTTCAATTATTTATTTTTTTTTTATTTTATTTTAATTACTTAATATAAATATTATTATTATTTTTGTTATTCTCTTCATTATTATTATTGCTGTTATCAATTTTATTTCAATCTTTTTTTATTTAATTCTAGAATTACAACACATTTTTTTTACCAATTTTAGTATTTCTATTCGCAATAGAGTCATCCTATTCATTTTAATAATCTTTTTATTCTAAATGTCACAGGGTTACTTGGAAACTGGAGAAGAATTTGATTCGACAAAGGGTCTTGGCCACCCGATCTCATTTGTCTTGGGGGCACCCAACATTATCCCTGGTCAGTTGGATGGTCAGCTGATTGATTGATTGATTAATTGATTGATTGATTGTGTTTTTGATTGATTGGAGTTTCATTGGTTGTTTTCTTGAATGATAATTCTACACATACACACGCACGCGCACACACACATATACACATATATATATATATGCATACATATATATACACAGACATATGCACACACATACACAGTCGTATATATATATTCTTTTATACCATTTCAAACTTTTGATTGACAGGTTGGCAAAAAGGCATTCACGGAATGTGCATCGGGTCAGTCAGTTATTTTAATTAAGTTCACTTTTTGATCACTGCTATTGCTGAAGATAGTTATCATTATGAAAGTTTCAAATGTTATGGATCAAAATTATTAACATTCTCTTTTACTGATACTATTGAGCAGTGAGAAAAGGCAGATAATAATACCACCAGAACTGGCCTATGGAGTCGAGGGCCTCCCACCATATATACCGGGTTTGTGGTGCTGCTGCTGATGATGCTTATGGTGGCAAAGAAGATGATGATTTTAGTGATAATGATGATGACGATAGTAACGATGAGAGTGATGATGATGTATCACGAAAAATGCTATCCTCTTCATGATGTATCATTGCTACCTTATTATTAGTATTATTACCATTCCCAATTGTCACTATTTCACAATTTCGCCGTCAGGTGGGGCGACCTTGACATTCAACGTTGAACTGATTGACATTGAAACTGAAGACGTTGGAAGTTTTTTTTTCAGGTCTGCGCTCCTGCAAATCCCAGCCCAGTTATAAACTCGCTTCACCAGCCAATCATATTTAGCTGATAACATTGCAATCAATTAAATTTGGATCACAGTAATTCAACCAATCATGTTCAGCCAATCACACTTAGCCAGCAACCGCACTCCAACCAATCGCATTCAGCCATTCGCATTTCGACCAATCACATTGAGGCATCCACATTCCGACCAATCACGTTTCAGATTACTAAGGTTCCTGTTCATGCCCTTCACGGCCGTCTGCATCGTCTACTACATGTACAGTAGGTACAAGAAGTCACCCACCAAGAAGGACCTCAAGGAATTGAGAAGGAAGAAGAGGAACTGATTGAGTGAATGAATGAATAGATGAATGAATGAATTAATTTATTGGCTGATTGATTTATTGGCTATGTATTTGTAGGGTTAGTAAAGTGAGTGAATGAATGAACGAATGTATTAGTTGCATGATTTATTGATCGAATAGTTGATCGATTGATTGGTTGAGTAAGTTGATCAATTGTATGGTTTGATGATTCATTCGAGATAGAGTGATATAGCAGAATAGTTTATTTTATTGTTAATGGTTTTTGCCTGCTTTTACATTCTCTCAGTTTTATGTTTTCAAGAGCCATAATATATTTATATAAATTATATATTATATAATTTATATATATATATATATAGGTAGTCATCTGGTCATTTTGTTTTTTTTATTCATTCCGTTTTAGTGTTTTTGATATCATCGAGTCATTCTCATTATTTATTTCCGTGCATTTTTATGTTATTATGGTTTTATTGTTATTATGATACACACACACACGCACACACACACACACGTACATACAAACAGACAAACACAAACACCAGCTAGAAGGAATCAGTTGTGGATTTAGTCATTTCAAATTTTGTGTGATGAACTTTTGACGCAGTTGGCGTTTGTGTGTTTGTTCGTTCGTTTGTTCGTTCACGTTTCGTTCAAAAGTTGTTTGCGTGTTTGCTGCTCTTTACACATTCTTTACATACCATTTACGTATTACAGCTTTCCGTGTAAATCTTTACAGTTCAGTTTAACTTCATTCCGATGTAATACAAGATAGTATTGACATAAAAAAAATGGCCATATTATATTATGTTGTGTATGTATGTATGTGAGTGTATTCGTGTATGTATGTATGTTGTATGTATGTATGTATGTTTGTGTATGTCTTATGTGTGTATGTATGTTTGTGTATGTATCAATAGGTGAATTTTTATATAGTTAAAGGTTAATCAAATTCTGAGAGCGCTTAGGACAAACTTGATTATGGACGTAATAATGTTCTTATTATGATATATATCATTCTCTCTTTCTCTCTCTCTCTCTCTCTCTATATATATATATATATATATATATATATATATATATATATATGTATGTATACATATATATATATTTGCATGAAACATAAAGATATTTATATATATATATGTTGGAAGGAGACATATTTTATTCAGTATTGTATGGATTCTACTGAATTGTTGGCATTAGTCAAATTACAATACAATTTTATAATTATATATATATATTTAATATGTATGTATAATAAATATATTTATATATATTATATATATATATGTGTGTATATATATATATATATCAAAGCATTTAATTTTTATATATATTGTATTATCACTTATTTATTCTTATTATTATTGTTGTTATTAATGTTATTTATGAATAATATATATATATATATATATATATATATATATATATCTAACATATATATATATATATATATAGTTAATTGTTTTATTGTAAAATCAAATTTACCAATAAAGGTTCTATTGAAGAGGAAGTAGTAATGATGACTATGGTTATAATGAATGAATGAATGAATGCGTTTGTAAATGAATGAATGCGTGAGTAAATGAATTAATGATTGGATGAATGATTGAATGACCGAACGAACGAATGATTGAGTGACTGATTCAGTGAAAGTACACAAATATAAATTTTAAATGTTCTGCGAGACGTTAATCAATGATGAAAGTAGTACAAATGATGAATGAACGACTGAATGAATGAATGAACGACTGAATGAATGAATGAACGACTGAATGAATGAATGAACGACTGAATGAATGAATGAACGACTGAATGAATGAATGAACGACTGAATGAAATAAAGTGTGCTACTGATTCTATGCCAATATAATTAAAAGAACAGTAAATTAATAATAAAATTCAATTAAATAAATGGATGAATGCATGATGAGCATTTGAAAATGAATAGGCAACATAGTTGAATGGATGAAAGAGTGAACCAATGAAAGAATAAAAAGTGATTGAATGAAGAAGTTAATTTCATTTCTTTAACAGTTCACTTTCGAGTCTTTCAAGCCTCTGAGCTTCTATCTGCTTGATGGCTTTCCTAATCTCAACCCTCTATAAATTAAATTTAAAATTACTTTTAATTAATAATAAAAAAAACAAAACGCTGTTATTACTACTACCAACCCCACCACCACAAGTTATATTAATTAATTAATTAATTTTAATTAAAAAGAATAAAATGATACTAACATCTTGAAGGTTTTCTTCAGGATAAATTTCTTTCTGTAGTTATAAATGACAAATAATTTTTATATTATATTTTTATGTTTTTATGGCCACTAAGTCCTGATTATAGTGTTTAGGAGGCGATGGAATAAAACTGAAATGAAAGTCATTCATCCACTCATTCATTCATCCACTCATTCATTCATCCATCCATTTATCGAACGATCAACCATTCATTCAATCAGTCAACCATTCATTCAATCACTCAACTACTCATAGTCAATTATTAGAACAAAGGATTCTATCGAACTTTTTTATTGAGGACGTGTTTTTTGATGATGCTAGGCTGGTTGAACAACCAGAAACAACTGATTGGGAACATCACATAAAGTGACATCTGTGAAATGAAAGTTTTCATTCAAATGAACACAACAAATCTTTAAAAATAACAAAGAAACATGGTTAATTACTTAATAAAAATTGCAACTTTAACACAATTAATATTTTAATTATTTAATTTAATTAAATTTTAAAAGTTAACAGATGAAAAATTTCAGCATTGTATGAGTTCAGTTTAGTTTAATGAATGAATCTGCAATCAGTGTAGTAAAATATATAACGTAAAAAATAATATAAAAAATATAAACTTAATTAATTAAATAAATTAGTTAAATAAATTTAATTGAAAATTTCAAAAAATACAGTGCTACTAACTTTGAACGCTTCTAGCTTCCAATTTCCCATGACCAAAATCCAAAATTAGGAGCAAAACTAAATTAATTACTAAGAAAACATTTTTAATTAAAATCACGATTTTATAATTAATTAATTAAATAATTGAAACTCCAAACTGGACCTGCCCTTGCAAATGTGAGAAAATAACATAAAACGTCCGGACATTCATCTCCGAAAATTATTTGTTTAAAAGTTAACACTAGTTTAAAAATTATAGAATTATAATAATAAATAATAATAATATCCTAGTTTATAGTGGTTCAGTAGACTAGCATCTGTGTAAGAGCCACTACAAAATAAATGTTAACTAATGATATAGAATCTATATCATTAGTATCCTGGCTCTCCTAGCTTGATTTTAAAACTGTTGATTGAATCCACTGTGACAATTTCAGTTCGTTCCAGGCGTTTGCCACCCTGCTGCTGAAGGATCTTTGCTTTTTTGGATTTTCCGTCTTCTTTAAGGGCTTGTATCCACACACAAATACTAGTAACTAGTATACACACACACACACACATATGCAAACACACGTACACATACATCAACATAAACATTAATTCAGTGACAAATAATTTTCAAATTTTTTCAAAATTTGATTAATTTAAGTTCCTCCATCACGCAACATGTGATTGTGAAACAATTTCAAAATTTCAGATGTTTACATGAAATTGAATAAACAAACTTAGCTATTACACTAGTCAAATGTGGGAAAATGTTTCTAGAAAAATAAATCCGTCACTGAAATTTTCAAAAAAATATACCTTCTGTTGTTTTTTATGATTAATCTGAAAGTATTTATTTTCATAGGCTGACTTATTTGAAGGTACGCAAGGTTATCTTCATCTTATTTAGCATCTTACCGAATAAGTCCGAAAGATTTTAATGTTGACTCCACTTTTTAGATACTTTCTGTGGTAGCAGAATATAAAGCCTTGCTAGTGTACTCCAACTGGCCACACACACACATATAACAGTTGTTTTATTAGTTAATGAAGCAAATAAGTTGTACTACTCCTATTTTGACATACCTTATTGCTGTTGAAACAACAAAATATATATTCAGCCAGCAGGCGAATTAACTTATTTGATTTAACGTCATATCAAATTTTAATTTTTCAAATCAACAATTTGAAAACGTTCTTATAGGTTAAATATATAAATGAAAATATAATATTGTTATCTTTAAGAAAATCTTCTCATTTGAACATATATTTATAAGTATAAATTCATAGTTGCAACAATCTGGTGATCAAGCAGTGAATGGCATTGTAATGATGTTATAAAGTCTTCAGCTCTATGAAGAACCACCTGAATTTAATTTGGTTGAATTGGTTTAATTTTAATTTTTTCAAAATAATTTGCCCTAAAAAAGCAATCTACTAACATAAAATAGCTCCTATAAACAATGTTAACGTAACAGCTATTGAGAATTGACAATGTTTAAATGGCACACCTCCATTACCTTGAAAAAATTAAAAAGAAATGCAATTATATCAAAATTTAGAATTCAAATTTAAATTCTTTTTTTAGTTCTTCCCATCAAGTAAATGTGAAGTGAGCTGCTGTACAAGTATTGATCACCGAAACACTATTACGATTAAGCTATACGTAAGTTTCTGTAAAAGTTACACACCATACAACCAGTTTCATGATAATGGATTGAGTCTGGCGCAGTTTGAACTGAATTTGAACGGGGTCAGACTAGAACGCAAAGGAAAAGGAGAGTCACAACATTTAGTTTGCTCATTGGAGTTTTGGAATAACATTGAAAAATATTTACAAACGTTAAAACCTACTGAATTTCTTTTTATCCAATATGACATGGTCGAAGTTGTTGAATCCGATTTCACAAGTACGTGGGTGGCGTTCATTTTGGCCGTAGAAATTTTGAACGGAGCAAATTTCTCTCCCTTGTCTACTTCTACAAGAACTGCTTCTGAGCGGTTTCAAATCACAGGAAAATACTGGACAATTCTGATCATTACGTCTTTCGTACCTCTTGTATGTGACTTGCATGTCTAGTTTAATGCCGTCGCTTTCATCTTCGGCTTTGGCTAGCTCAATTTTCGAACTAACTATATTTTTTTCAAATTAAATTTTTAGTAGAATAACTTCATTTAAAAAAAAAAGTCTTGATTTGAAAGAATGTAATTTTTTTTTGTAAAGGATGACGAATAAAAATAATTATCTTACTTATTAGGATGAGCTCGTTAGTGGTCGTTTTTTTGTTAGTTCTGCAGTAGTAGAATCCAACATGGTTGTAGTCAATTTTTGTTATCACCAGCTTCAAATTCGGCGGCTCTCCGTGATTAAAGCTCACCTGTAACCTGTTTTTTTATGGAGGATTTAAAATTTCAAAATAAATTCATGAGAGCTAAAACTGACAAAAGTCAAGATGTAAACAAATTATTCTAACACCGAGTCTTTAATATCTAAAATGTTTTGGTTTGTATAATTGTTATAGTTGTTGTTTTCGTCGGTTAGTTCGAAGAACCAGGCCTGATCAATTTCGTTACTTTGGTTTTCTCGTTCTGTCAACTGACATTCCACACTCCAGGCCTCACCCTTCCGTACGTAGTGCTCCTTATATTCCACCGCCAAATCCCCAAGAACCACCAACATCATCGTCGTCGACAGTGAAGTTAGTAGGATTAGTGAAATTCTGAATTTCCCCAACATTATCTGTGGTTTGTATAGCTAACCGTTGTGTAGTGGATGGAGGAATGACTTTGCTCTACGGACGGATTTTTTGTCGAAGGATTTCAAATTGATAAGTTGAATGGAGGGATTGTGATACATTAGAAGTTGTTATATATGTGTGTGTGTATTACTTATTAAGCTATCGGTATGCACACACACACACACAAACGCGCGCGCGCGCGCGCACACATATACACACACACACACATCATACACACACACACACACACACATGTAGTATATAATTGTTCTGGGTACGAAACTAAATTGATATATCTAATTGTTTTAACTACAATGAAAGCACGTGATTGAGAATTGTTTGTTTATAAATTAAATTTTTAAAGTAATTTTGAATGAATTTAAACTGCCCGACTTGCCAGCCTGCTAATTGTGGGAGTTGAACTTAATTGTTTCGTTGACGTAATCAAATAGTATTAATAACGCCTTCTAGAGCATTTCCTTTTTTCAAAATTTAATTTCACTAACTTTTTTGACTGCCGCCTCTTCTTTTTTTGAATTTTGAATTCTAGGGAAAAAGCTCTCAAAATTGTTGGCTAAACTTTAAGATCTTAAAGTTAAAGTCTAGACTAGCCCGATCTTAAAGGCTAGTTTAGACTTTAAGATCGGGTCTAGAAAAGGACAGAGGGAGTTTGCCTGCCCCGAGGTCTCCACAAGGAAGGGGTCTGCACAAGAGAGAGTAGAGTTTACCAAACATTCAAAGTACAAAAGGTCAGCAACATTGTACTGTACATGTTTTTCAGTCATGTTCTTTGCATTTTATAAGCGTCTACCCATAACCTCTCAGACATACGTTACATGTTATTTTAATTATTCTGTGTTTGTGTGTGTTTGTTCTTGGTATCTTAGTGTATTTGTGTGTGTTTGTCTGTGTGTGTGTGTGTGTGTGTGTGTGTGTGTGGTGTGTCTGTGTGGTTTGTTTATATGTTTATATGTTATTTGTTTGTTTGTTTGTTCGTGCACCACAAAAAATGAGTTCTATGCATGCTTAACGACATCTAGTGTTGTTATTCTTCAAAGCCTTAACACTATCATCATCATAATTTTTACTTATTTTATTATTTTTTATTATTTTTTTTATTAATTATTATTGTTATTGTTTATTTTTAAGTTGCTTGTAGTTTTTTTTACAGCCCCCAATATAATGCGAGCTGTGGAAATAATTGCCATATAAATATGAAATATGAACACACGACAGACTGTAATTTGACACGTGCACACACACACGCACACACACATACCAACACACACACACACACGCAGACATATACACCGCATAAATAAACAGCTCGTTGAAGAAAACATTTTTTTGTGTTTCTTTATATATTATCAAGTATTGAAAGAAGTTTACAGAAAAATAAATAACATAAAAATTGCATTAAATATATGACTCTCCATAATAATAATAATAATAATTATAATAATAATACATAATTTATGTAGCGCTAAGTTTACCAAGGCAATGAACAAATTCTTTCATAAATAGAAAAAATAGATGTTTGAAAACAACGATATTATATACACACAAATTCACACACTCACAAACACACACAAAAACACAAACACAAACAGACACTCACAAGCACACACACAAACAAACAAATACATGATTATTTATCTTTCTTTATCTCCCAGACAAGCCAAGCAGGTTGATTTAATTTATGAACTTTCGCAGTTTATTACATTTATTTCTGAAGTGTTTACCGTACAAATATTTGAACGTGTGTGTTAGTGTGTGTTTGTGTGTGCGTGTGTGTGGCGAGTCTGCGTATTATATTATGCATATAAATTATAAAATTATATAAATTTATTCATAGTTTTTAAAAAATATAACCATACTAATATTATATGAAGGCAGTTTATGATGAAGAGTTGCCAGACAGCTATTATATTATAAATCTCATTATCATTATTGTTGTTGTTGTTGTTGTTGTTGTTGTTCTTCTTCTTCTTCTTCTTCTTCTTCTTCTTCTTCTTCCTCTTCTTCTTCTTCTTCTTATTATTATTATTATTATTATTCTCTTCAATATGTTCTAAGTAGAAAGAAGACTTTTTGATTGACATTCTGTCGGTCCTCATCCAGCAGGCTGCAGTTATTGTTATTAACATCTGTAACGTAGTAATTTGTATATACGTGAACATTATTATCATCGTTATTATGTCTATTATTATTAATGTTGTTGTTGTTGTTGTTGTTGTCGTTATAGTTATTATTGTTGTTGTTGTTGATACCGGCCATACTGGTTATTCTTCTCTTTATAATCGTGTGCCAGAACATGAAGCCTATTTTTCAAAAAACTAAAATTAATAAAAATCATTAGCAATAGTGGTAATAATAAAAGAATGAAGAAGGATTGCAAAGTGAAGTTTACACGTTAATTAACTAAATACTAACACTCGCATGAAGTGAGAAACGTATGAGATAAATATACATTTTAATTAATTGATTGGTTAATTTGTGTGGTTGATTAAATCATCAATCGATTGGTTGATCGATTGATCCATCGATTGATTGATTGACTGATCGATCGATCGATTGATTGATTGATCGATCGATTGATTGATTGATCGATCGATTGATTGATTAGTTGATTGATTGATTGATTGATTGAAAATGAATCACAAATCATACAAACATGAAATCGCCAACATGATTACAATGATCGCAACTAGTGGAATGTACGTTTTAATATATCCCGCTGCTCCATTCATCTCTAAAGTCACTCCTCCATCAGCTTATCAACAAACATTTTTATAAATATCATAAATTAAAAATAGTAAAATTAATATAAATATTAGAAATATTATACCTTTTCCGGCTTTCTCCATCTCCCTCCAACTCCATACCACAGATACCACATCCCGAAAGACCGCCCAACACTGGTCCGGCAACACTTCACCAACGTCAAATATTCTCTGCGCATGGCAGGTCACAGAAAACTCCTCAGAAACAAAACACTTTTCTCCTTTCATGGCTCGTTTCTTTTGACCGAACTTGCATTCAAACCTGGGAACTGAGGGTTCGAGACCTAAGTAGGATACTGCCATGCCGAGGGTTTGAGATTTGTCTTCGTTCATCACCAGAGAGATCGCCGGCTCTTCTGAATGAGTCAAACCACGTGATGATTCACAATGCTACTTCCGTTAATTCGATCATTACGGTTAATGTATAATTAGTTTTATAATTAATCAATTAATTTGATTTATTAGAAAACTAAATGGACGGTGAGATTGATGTAGTGGTCAAGTGCTCGGTCAGTGTGCTGCAGTAGCGAGGTTCAAGTGCAAATGAGAGCCCATTACAACACGTGCGTATATATTATGATGTGTTATTTTGTGTGTTTTGTGGAAAATTTTTTAAAAAAGTCTCTGATGCTACGCATAGCGCGCCATATAAATCAGAACTTTTTTAAATATAACATCCAAAAAGTTATAACAAAAAAAATTGCGAGAAAAAATATTTTGAACCAGTAAACATTTTCAAAACTCCCAACGGACCGACAACGGTTAGTTTATACTTTCTTGTAACTTCAACTTCTACTGCAGCTTTTGCATCATCTTTAGGGTACGTACATTCATAATAGCCGGCGTGGTCTCTATCAACTTTTGAAATTTCCAATCTGGATGTCTGAGTGTCCAGGTTCAACTGCACGCTGTACCTGCAGAGCAGATGATGGGATGTTATTTCAATTTATAAATCTTCAAATTAATCATGACAACAACATTAATATTGTTTTCCAATAAATTTTCAGAGGTATCAATCAGCAACACACATTTTCATTGCATGTGAGTTGCGGGGATCTCTTTGCGATCGAAGCTGGCCACTGTGGCGGTGGAACGAAACGTTTTAACCATTACACTACCACGCCATATAATAATAAGTATAGTTAACAATTATTTTAAAAACAACTATTATTACAAAAATAGTGAAAGTTAATAATTACTTCATTATTAATAACAAAATCAAAAACGTTAATAAAAATAGCAAGCATCATAAGGGGAGAAAATGTGCTGAACTGAGTTCAAAGTTAATTGGCCTGACTGTATTATTAAACAAAACAACAGGCGCATTAACTATAATTAATTAATTATAACTAATTAGTTATAATTAATTAAAATTAATCAATGATAATAATCATACATAACTTGGATAATTGAACGAACAAGATGAAAAATTATTGTTTGTGATATTTTTTTGTTGGCTTTCGTTTTAGAACTTTTATTAACAACAAATATGCGACTGGAAAGTTGAAAATTTTACAAGAAAATTTGTCGGCGAGTTAGCTTAACCGGTAGAAGTGCCATGTTTTGCGTTGTAATGGCGCGATGACCTAGTTCGAATACTGCCTGTCCGAATCTCAAAAAATACCCCACACCACGTACAGTGCACGTACACGGTTTTGTGTGGGTGATATAAACCACATAATTAAAAACAACAGAACCTGGATTGAGCCCAACTGTCCAGCCTATCATTAATATAAATATAACGACTTTGACGATTTGTAGCATCAGTAGTCGCGCTTACAAAAATCCATTTGACAGGAAGAAAATGCACATTCGTTGGGTCCTTTGCATCCTGTAAGTCACACTCCACACTCCACGGCATGCCTGACATTACAAAGTATTCCTCGTTCGTGGATGTGTCTTGTGGAGCTGCCGGCATCGTGGATGAGTATGATAGGTGGATGATGATCATTTTGATCGCGGCGACGATGGTGAAGAATCGCGCCATCATTTTTGATTTTGTTCTTACGAATTTTAATTTATTTAATTTGTTTTATGTGAAGTGTCTTCTAAGGCCGAGTCTCATTGGGATCAGATCAATTATCGTTATTTTTTTAATTTTACACAACTTATTCATTTAGTTTTCAAGTTAAACTTTTTCAAATTTACACATTTGAATTTTAAATTAATTTTCAACAAAATTTACTCACTCGCATTTTTGAAATAATCTTCTTTCAAATTAATCTTTTAAATTTAAAATTAAACTTTCTCAAATTTATACATTCAACTAATTTTATCTTTTAAAAATTTCACCACACAGCAAACAACAGCTGGTCGAATCGAAAGAATCTTTATAAATGTAGATGTAGTGTTCACACTTTAATATAAAACCGAAACAGGAAAAAATGGATTTCCAAATTTCTAAATATAAACTCCCCATGAAGAATGGCGCATTTAGCTGTTAAATGCATTTTCGTAGGTCCTGAATATTCATATAATATCATTAATATTCATAATATCCTATTAGGAATGTCCATGTCATATCGCATGTATCACTATACACATCACATGAGGATGGAATCATCAGTTTCTTTATCTGTTTGTTATATATGTTATATATATATATATATGTATGTATATAAAATAATAAAATATGACTAAGGTTGATAATATATATATATATATATATATATATATGTGTGTGTGTGTGTGTGTGTGTAAGTATGTTTATATGTATATAAATGTGTGTGTGTGTGTGTGTGTGTGTGTGTGTGTGTGTGTGTGTGTGTGTGTGTGTGTGTGTGTTGTGTATTCCTGTGTCTTTGTGTCCGTGTTGAAATAGTAATAATTTTTCTATATAAAATAAAAATAACAATAAAAATAATAATAATACATTTTTTTATTACTAACATATAACATTGTTTCTGCGTCTGTCAGATACTGATTTTTAAAGAATAATAATAATATTAAAAAAAAACACAGACACACAACGTACAGACAAACCATAACATTTCAGCCAGTAGACTGATACTAAAATTTTAAACTGAGTCGCAATGAGATGCTGGTTTTTACACCAGATGATTTATTTTTAATTTTATTTTTTTATGGAAAAAAGCTCGTAAAAATAGACAAAACACATTTCGATTGGTTAATATGATCATCACGTATATATGTGTATATTACTATTATTTGTATATTTATATAACACTCTTTATTAAACTATACGTGTGTGTGTGTGTGTGTCTGTGTGTGTGCGTGTGTGTCTGTGTGTGTGCGTGTGTGTCTGTGTGTGTGCGTGTGTGTGTTCTGGATAATGTTTCATCATCGGTTTTCCATTTCATTATAACAATTTTTTTTATTCCTATTATTTTTAACTACGAACTAAATTTTTTTCTTCTTTTGAAATACGTTTTAATTTTATTTTAATAGACGTACGGTACGTACGGTTGTTTAACTGGTTGGACAAATTTTGCAATATATGCCCATCAAATAAACATTTGTGGATCTATTTAGCTTATAAAAAGGAAAATATTTAAATAAAAAATCTCATCAATTCTCTCATGAATATTTTGTAGAGGTATCAACAGGAAGACATGCAGTGCGCCTATGAATACGTACGTATCAATCAATCAATCAATCAATCAATCAATCAATCAATCAATCAATCAATCAATCAATCAATCAATCAATCAATCAATCAATCAATCAATCAATCAATCAATCAATCAATCAATCAATCTATCAATCAATCAATCAATCAATCAATCAATCAATCTATCAATCTATCAATCAATCAATCAATCAATCAATCAATCAATCAATCTATCAATCTATCAATCAATCAATCAATCAATCAATCAATCAATCAATCAATCAATCAATCAATCAATCCACTCTGAACTTCGTAAGTGATGGAGATGTAGTCAGAGAAGGAGGTAGAGAGTTTTAGAGAGAAGAGCCAGAAAAAGCAAATGCAGATTTAGCAAGACCAAGTGCCTCAGCGATTTACGCCATTTTGTTCGTTTCTTTACATTCCATTACGTAGGATGTTTTATGTATGCATATGTCAACCGTTAAAATCGCAACACTTGGGACATATTTCAAAATTTGTAAATGGGTCGCCATCTGGTTTATATATACATTAGTGCAAATTCGAAGATTTTGAAAACTAACAAACGATATTTTATTTACTGTTCAATTTTGATATGATCCTACAATCGTGTGAAAAATATGTGTTACACATTTTAAATAGTTATGAAAAACTTGCAAATGGCTGTTGCTCTAAACGTCTAATTAAATGAAATTAATGAATGAATTAATTAATTAATGAAAACTAATTAATGAAATAAAATTAGGATCGGTAGATTCGTTAACACAAAACAAATATCAAAACAAAAATAGTTACAGAAGAAATAAAGTAAACAGTTATCTTGATTAAAATAACTTGAAAAATGTTTTTAATGCATTTAACAGTTGCTAAAAAAAACAAGTTTTTTGAAATGTTTAAAAAAAATAGAAGTACAAGTTTTTCCATTTCAATTTTTAGGTAAGCAAACTTTCGTAAGACAAACTGGATTGGCGGACCCGAGTTGGGCCATTTATGTCGTATATCGTCTTTATCTCCCTCCCATCAGTTTCCGAGCATATTTCTCCACATGAGACATGACCCCAGCAGAGCTCGATGGACGACAGGACATCAGCTTCCTGTCGGCCAAAGAATGTTGTTCGTATGCCAGCCAGGAAGCCACCAGGTTTCGATGGCGTTGAACATCCTTCCCGACCAACATCCTCTCCATACGGTCCGAATTTCCGATCCAAGTTTGTCTGGAATGTTAAACTGTTGATGGACTTTGCACATTTGAAATCAACTTTTGTTATGAACTCATCATCGTGGAAGCTTATTGTAGAGAACGTGAGACCTTTTAGTTTTGACGTTTTATTTCCAACTCCAGGAAAATTGACGTTTTTATTTGCATGTTTATATTCATTTCCACTGTTGTACGTGACTGACATGCCTGTAGAAAATTATGTAAATAGAATTTCCTAGCTACAAGAACAAAAACTGCTCATTTGCTAGTTGGACAATATTGGAAACAATGAATTATGCACCTACATTTTAGAATTAGGTCTCAATAAAAAATAAATAAACCTTCTATATTTCCGCCAGACGATATGCACAAGATAATTTTTTTCACGATGATGAATGCGGATTCTGATCTTTTTCGTTTTTCTTTGTCCACGTCGTCCTGAACTTTTGACTTGACGTCGTAATAACCACTACTCGCTTTACTCTTGCTCCAACAGTAATGGAAACCTGGCGTTTGTTAACGTGGACGTTTTCAAAAATTACAGTTAGGCAACTTTAAAGTTCATATAAAAAGTTAAGAAGGGCACCGTTTAATAGGTTTCTAGGACGATTCCATATTGGATATTCTAATCGTTCTTTTTTAGCCCGTTTATCATCCAGTAAGCGTATCAACATTTGAATGCATACTTTTGCTTTTGTACATTTGCCCAACCAATCCTTGTTTTCAATCAAATCTTCTATATTGTTGTCAGTCAAAAATCCCAATCTAATTGATTTTGTCAAAAATTCAAACCAAAAATCGTGAAGCATTGTTTCATCTAAAAACTTTTTGATAGTTTGGAAAAGTTTATGTTCTTGCTCCGATTTATTTAATTCTACAACGTTATTATTTATAATTAAGAGATTGTCGCTTGAAGCCCAAGCAAGATGTTTGTTAACGATTTTCAAGTGCTCAGGATGTTTCTCAGGATATTTTTTATACAACTGACTTGAATTTGATTCATTCGACATTGGCGTCCTGCTTTGTGAAGAGATGTCTGCCTCTTCCAAATTTAAAGTCTCACGTTGTTCCTTAGCCCGTTGAAAATGATTAATAATCGAAATTGGTGATGATTCTATCAGCGAATGACTTTCCTTAGTTGATGGAGAAGTGACGTAATCACTTTTATCTTTCCACCTCTGAGGAACTTTCCATTCTAACATTTCAATCATTTCAGCGATTTTATTTAATATGTATAAATATTTTTGTACACAAACTAACTAGTTTTGAGCAAAATGGCAACAATTGCGAAGGGTAGAAAAGTACATAAACCAACAATTAGGCGAATTTCTAAGTCTGTTAAAAAAAATTGAAAAAATAATGAATAACATTCTGCACTGAACACTAGTAAATGAAAGCTAACGTTTTTCTACTGTTACATTAGTTATTATTACTTTATCCAGAAACCGAATGTGACATTTTTCAAGGATATTTGCAGAGTCTTCAGAACTTACAGTTGAATGACAGCTGATCAGATTATTTTCTAGTATTCTGCAATTGAAACTTTTGAAAGCTGTTGCGTTTCCACCAGGATTACAATTATATTGGGGATTGTAAACGTTCGTTCCAGCGTATTTTAACATAAAAAATAAGCCATTTAAAACTTTGTGTAGAGAAATTTCATCTGGAAAATAGTCAGCAAAATATTTAAAATGCAAAATAAAAAATATTTATGGACTTTCTACATTAAAATAATATAATAATAATTTCATTTGCCAACCGACAACCAACAGGTCAATTTTTCTCTCAATCAATTTTTCGGACGACTTGTGAGCACACATATACGTGCCAGAGTGATCCAGATCAACACGAGGTATCTTCATATTGTACACTCTTCTGTCCTCTGAAACTTCGAAGTGATATCTGAAATTTGATAGCTTGATTAGGATAAATATAAAGTTCAAGAATAACACAAACGTCTCCGAAATATTTTAGAACATTTCCAAATCATTTGCAACATTTTTAATTATACATGTTTTATTTGTCTTATGAAAATTATAGAATGATAACAAACTCTGAGTTCAGTGGTTAATAAAGGTTTTAAAATATTCATTAAGTCGCGAAGGCCGCATTGAGATTTATTTTAGCTTTGAAGGGCCGCATATGTACTTGAATATCAAATTTTTTCGACCCGAAAGAGAATTTTTTAAGATTTGTGGTTCTTTTTTTGGTCATAATGTCTGGCTGATGGCAATATAAAATAGCTTCGCGGGCCGTAGTTTGGCCACTTCTGTTGTAAAATATTTTAAATATGTTGTAAAATGTTTTGGATAAGTTGATATATTTCTCGTAAAACTTGTAATTTTTAGGCGGTCAAATTAATGTTGACGATAATATCAACTGGCAGTGCTATAACATGCAGTACGAAGTGCCGTAAGAACAAGTCAAATTTTGGATCCACTTCGTCTACATTGTCTAAATCCGCTACTAGTCACTTTAGTTATAATATTGCACTTGCTCAAAACATCAACATGGTCAATCGTAACTTATAGCTATGAATTAGGTAGTAGACAGTCAAACAGTAAGCAGAAGTAAATGTCAAAGCGATGGTGATTTTGTTGTCACAAGCAAACAGTATCTGAAAACCTGTTGATATATTGCTTATTTGCCTCCCATTTGGTATGCAAAACAACGCTTTCACTGTCAGTTTTGTAAGTTTGAAAAATCCACATCATCGGATAAACAGATGGAGTGCCGCATCTCATGGACCATTGCTCATCTCTTCTAACAACCTCTAATTCTTTCTCTGCAAAAATATCATTCGTATGAATCAAATTAACTTTTGAATATTTTTCAGTTGTTTTATTTAAAAACCGAGTTCAATATGTAACTGCGTTTCATTCCATTTAACAGAGTTATTATTATTATGAAAGACGATTTCACATTTGGTTGGATTTTCATCATCCAAATGAAATTTTTTTTCCAACTTGCAAAAGATTTGCACGGATTTCGTGCAAATTGTTTCTTTCATGAGGAGTTCACCGTAACTGAACGTGCACATGAACTTGACATTCGGTGCCTCGTGCCCAGCGTACGATATGTTCATGGCCAATGTCAGCGATTTGTCGGCGCTCAGTTTGAATTCAGTGTGAGAGTATTCTGTTGAAGTATTTTTTAATGAAGAATTTTGAAATACATATACTACTAGGTGATTAATTATTTATGAAATTTAGAAAAAAAACTATCAATAACCGATGACGATGACTTTATAATACTGTCTGTGATCGAATTTGGTTGGATCGGGCCAGCAAGCGTAAAATCCAGCATGGTGTATGTCGGTTTTAGGGACTTCCAATGTTGATATCCCCCCATTTTGCCAAGATGTCACTTTGTATCTTTTAAAACATACGTCAAACGGTCAATATTCTTTCAGATATTTTAAATAAATTTACAAATAATTTGATTTTGAATGAGTTTTACGAATAATTTAACCTCCCAACCTTGTCCTAACTCTTCCCACCAATGTTCCATCAATGAATATGTATGAGTTGTAGCTACGGTCAGCGCTGACAAACACCCAGCTAGGGATTATATTTCTGTATGGAGTCTTGCAATGCAGCTTCCATCCCTTCCCAAGTTCGACGAAATGCTCGTTGTATTTGAAGTCATCGATGGCAAATGTTATCGTTGGTGTCAGTATTAATAAGAAGAATGAAGACTTAAATTTCGTCTTTAACGACATAACTTACAAGACTGAATACCATTTATGAATTTAGGAAGTTTTAGTATAGAGAGTTTATATTGTCTAAAATTGTCTAAAGTTTAACAATAAAATACAATAGTAAGACGTTTGACCGTAAAAAATCAATAAAATGTTAATTACTACGAAAAAATGTTTAATGTTTACGCGTTTTATTCCATAGAACTAAGCCAAATTATTAGGCAGGTAATAATTATTATGCCATAGCCAAACACTTGAAGGCATTCATAAGAAGTTTTATTATATAGAGAAAGTTTGAAAGCATTCATTGTTGCAAAGTCTAGCTAGAAATTGCATGTATTTATGCATGCTTGCTTATAAAAATCCAATTAAAAACAGTTTTAATTTTGATTTTTATACATATTTGTAAAAAAAATTTCATACGAAGTTTCGAATTATTTTAAAATTTTTGCTGACGCATTTTGATAAATAAAATTTGAAATATAACACGATCATATATAGCATTTTGTGGCCATTTCAGATATTTTCTTCAATAACTTGTGATACCGAAATTAGTTTCTATAATGATATTTATAGCTAAAATTATCTACATCCTTCATTCCATAAAATAATTTTAACAATTTTAATTCTCATATCATTTTGAATTATGTATAAAACTAGAAAAAATTTCTTTGCAATTGAAGCCACCAATTAACCCAACCTTATTTTTTTTTAATTTAATAATTTTACCGAACTTCTTCGTCAGAATTGTTTGAGCTAGACAGATGTTGGGTTTTTTCAAAAAATTGTAAAATCACACCATTGTTCGTTTTTGTTCAGTATTCATTTTGAAGAAAAAGAAACTATGTTAACGCGCGCGCGCGCGTGTGTGTGGTGTGTGTGTGTGTGTGTGTGTGTGCGGTGTGTGTGTTCCTTTTTTGATAAAATTACATATTTTTATTCATGATTTCGCCCTGAAGAATTAATCATTTTCAGGAAAATAAGAAGTATCTTTTCTTGTGTAGTTTAAATCACGCTGCATCTCATTAACATTTAAATAAAAATTCACTCACGAATTATTCAAATTATTATAATGAGTTTGTGACACGAATGTTGAATGCTTCCATCATTTACAAACATTCACGACGACCAACTATTCTTGTTAAACTATTCTCAAATTTAGTACGAAGAGCTAATTAAAACTAGTCAAGGAGAGAACGCAACCAAATGGAGCAGATATGGTTAGCAAATAGAGTAGCGAACAGCATAAGGTGGGACCTCAAAGCTCGCTGCATTTGCGGTCATCACTGGCGATTACTAGGTTTTTTCCATCAGCAATGACAACTTTAAAAAAATTTCCAACTTTATAACTTGTAACTTTGTAAGCATTTTTATAAGCCAGTCGTTCAGTAGTTCAGTCGAACTTCAGGTAGAACATTTTGTTCAATATAAATTATTATAATTGTAATAACATTAATACTAGTTATAAATAGTTAGAAGAGATGATTGTTTATGTGAATAATTTCAGTTGATTCATTTATATACGTGAATGCGTCAAACCTAGGAGAATTTTTTTTTAATTTTTTTGCTAAAATTAGTTTGTCGTCAAGGTTTGTCCTTTAAAAAGAGTCACGATAAGATATTACACGGAGAAAATGTCTCAACTTAAAATGAAATCTCAAAGAGATTTATAAAAATAGCATTAATACCTGTTATGCAACACGTGTAGCTAATTAATATTTGATTTATCATCACTTTTAATTTTCAAATTTGAATTTTTGATACAAAGAACATAAGAGTTATATATATTGTTGTATAAATTAAGTTTAAAAATTTCAAATTTTAAAATGAAATAAATTTAAAAAAGCAAGCAAGCAACATGACTTATAAACTAACTTTTTGACAATATTTTCAACCCAAAAATCCACACATCTGTCGGATATTTTGACTTTCGTGGCAGGCGGCCAACTGATTTTCATTAAACTTTTTAAAAATTTCCGAATTCCAGTGAGGATTCCTCCTCCTTTATTTTTTTTTCTCTCACTCCTGCAATTATTATCTTCCTTATCTTTTACACTTTCAGTTTCTTCTTTTGTTTTTGTTAACTTCTTCCTGTGACTATCTTCTTTATTATCTTTTAATTTTTTTTCTTTCCCATTTTAGGAATTTTTTAAAAATTGTATCTACTTAAAAATTGAAATATACCAACTCCTGTCGAATGCTTATGGATTTGATATTCGATTTTAAGTTCGTGTGGTGTATGGTGTGGGTTGAGTGTGAAAATGTTTCAGTCGTGAAAATGAAATAATCAAAAGATTAAATCAAGATTAAGGTTTGCTGGGTTATTTAAAAATGAATCAAGTGCAGAAACAAATTTTTTCGAATGTGAAAGTACTCTTAATAAAAAATGAAAAACTGAAAAGAAACTGCAAAATTGATTGCATAACCGAAGTATGTTAATGAAGCATGTCGTATTGTTTCTTAATTCGTCAATAAATTAATAGTTTTGTAATTTAATAATTTAATAATTAATATTATTTAAAAAGTGTTGCTAATATGGATAGCCTAGATTTTACCATTCTGACCGACCGACTGACCGACTGACCGACCAACCAACCTCTCGATTAACGAACGAACGAACCAACCAGCCAACGAACCAACGAACCAACCAACCAACCAACCAACCAACCAACCAACCAACCAACCAACCAACCAGCTAGCCATTCAATTGTTCAACCAACCAGCAAACACAACCTCGACAAGCCAGTGAAACCCAGCGCACGGATCAATAAACGATTGCTTTCAACGTGAACAAACCACCGACAACAACAACAACAACAACACCATGAATTCACCTGACATCTATGGAAAATGCTGGCAATACAGGTGTGTTTTGTGTTCTGAATGTACGTGTATGTGTGTGTGTGTTGTGTGTGTGTTTGAATGTACGTGTATGTGTGTGTGTGTGTGTGTGTGTGTTGTGTGTGTGTGTGCAATTTTTGCGCGTGTTTGTTCCCTTGTATGTGTAAATATCAATGAAATTTTTTGTGATATATATCCACTTATGTATGTATAAAATAATTAAACGTATTATCTCTTCTTAATTCTTTTCACTCTCTCTCTCCCTCTCTTTTTTTCTCTCGCTTTCTCTTTAGCTTATAATGCTACATTGCAAATTTGCGTTAAAGACGCATTGAATATACGACTGATTTTTGGATTTGTTCACAAACATTTGATTTCAAAATAATCAACGAAGAACCACTTGAAAATGCTTTAGTTACAAGGCTCGTATCAGATCAACTGCATAGATATTGCATCATATTTTGATTGTATCTTGATGTATCAATAGTAACTACACGTATCTTGGTGTATCAGTAGCAACTACACCTATCTTAGTGTATCAGTATCAACTACACGTATCCTAATGTATGCAATTATGCATGCCTTTATTCATGTACCACTGGTTATCCACAATTTGGCTATTTAATCAACATCGATTATTTAATCTATACAGGATAGAGTTGTTGAAGGTTCGAAGTTTACAACATTGTATATATATATACATATGCAAAAAACATACATACATACATACATACATACATACACACACACACACATACATACATACATACATACATACATACATACATACACACACACACACATACATACATACATACATACATACATACATACATACATACATACATACATACATACATACACACACACACACATACATACATACATACATACATACATACATACATACATACATACATACATACATACATACATACATACACACACACATACAATACAAAGCATTTCAGGTATAAATAGGGCGGAAGACGCTGTATCAAAGTCATTCATTCATTCTTTTTGATAGGCTGTGTTGAGTTAGGTGTTATTTATAGTAAATAATAATAAATAAATAAATATAAATATAGATATAAATAAATAAATAAATATATATATATATAAATATTTCATATTTCTATCTATTTCATAGGTATGCCATATAAACTATCTATATAAGAATCGATTTAATAATAAAAATATAACATGTAAAGTAAAATATAACATAATGTAACATGTCTACCGCTTTTTTTTAACTAGTCAGTATCATTAACTAAATAACTAATTAATTAAATAATTAATTAATTGATGTAAATGACTAATTAATGTATTAAAATAGTAGTAGTAATAATTATAACAATAGTAGTAATTATTATTTTCATTATAAATATAATTATAAATATAGGTTGTGGATAATAATTCTTACGCTGGGGTCAACTTTTGAAAAGAGGTTACTAATCTTACATACGTTATTATTATAGTTATAAATATTTTCAAGTATCATTATCATAACTATATTTATTGTCATCGTCATCATCATCATTGTCGTCGTTCGTCATCATCATCATCATCATCATCATCATCATCATCACCATCATCATCATCATCATCATCATCATCATCATAACTTTATCCGGCATAATCGCCATATTAATTTTATCATTTAATAATGATAGATAATTGGTTTAACCATCATCGTTATCATCATCATCATCGTCGTCGTCATCATCATCATCAAAGACTAAAATAGAAACAACTCCTATCTAGTAATATCATCATCATCACCAATAACACCACTTCAATCCTCATCATCATCACAATCACCATCATCACTACCATCATCATCATCATCATCATCATCATCATCACCATCATCATCCTCACCATTATCATCATCATCACCATCATCATCATCACCTGCAAATGGACTTCGGCGTAGAACTTCACCGCGTTTGCGTGATCGTTAATGGCGTTTACTGCGTATATGATGACGTTTGATGATGATGATGATGTTTGATGATGATGACGTTTGATGATGATGATGATGTTTGATGATGATGATGATGATAATGTTTGGCTATGATGATTGTGATTATGATGATGAGGATGATGTTTGACGATGATGATGATGTTTGACGATGATGATGATGTTTGACGATGATGATGATTTTTGATGTTTGATG